CGGTCTTGTCTTGAACTCCTTGTCCAGATCTTCTGACCACTTGAGCTGTCTCGCGATCTTGTAACCAAAATCCTTTTCCTTTACCGTTGTTTGCTGCTACCCTAGCAGTTTGAGTTGAGTTGAGTTACCTTAACCCCACCTTGGCCAAACAATCCAAGGTGAGTACACGAAACACGGCGCGTGCAACGTCTCTTGATCGACGGGAGGCCAAATATCCTGCCCGGAAGAGAAGTCTGCGACGTGCTTTATATGTAAAAACGGTAACTGTTTTATTATCCAACCAAATTAATAGCCATCCTATCCTTAAGCCTATTCCAAACTGTAGGTCACTCTCCAAATCGATATCACCTTTACGCTTGACCGCCCCCTTCAACACGTGTCGAAATCTCGTGACCTGTGCTCCAAAGATAGCGCCAATACTCCCGATATCGTACCTAGACACCAAAAAGGGAGCAAATTCCAAATGCGGTACCTAATACCCAATTTTGGTACCGAAAAGTCCAAAATAGTATCCAAATGCCGAATGTGTCTAAATCCATTTTGCGACGTCAATTCAACCGGCTTCCACTGGCTCTTTCGGTCTGAACTTTTGCGACATCACTCATGGACCTTCAACAAGCATGAATATCACAATCCAATAGCTCCATCATCGATATATCCATAATCAGCAGGGAACATGACCGATCTGATGCCCAATTCGAGATCGTTGAGGATCGACACAGTGCGATCCGGCCCTATATGTTCTTCCGTTCGTTGTAAATGGTCCGATACCATCCTCAAGGGTTTAGCCGCACAATGGGACCATCCACAATTCTCAAAACGGTCCCACGGACTCCCACAAACATCCGCACTTCCAGATCGGTCCATAATTAACCTAAATCAGTACTCCCATTGGAGATCGGTGATGTGTATCTTCGATCACCTGGATGCTGCAACTTTGTCACAGAGTCACGTCGCATCGCTTGGTCTCAGGAGTACCTTTCTCAGTTCAGATCGGTCTTCTGGTTCAATCTAGTCCCTCGTCCCAGATTGCACCGTGGAAATCATCGATGTCTGCGACTCGTCCCAGATTGTTCCAAGAAAATCACCCCTTTCTGCGCCTCGTCTCATACCGTTCCACGTCCATCCTTTGGCCGACCGTTGGATCGGTCCGTCGATCTCCGTGGGATCACCTTCCGTCTCTCATCGGATCGCCAGATCACTTGGTGCCATTTTTCACCAGTACGTGGCGCCTCAATTGGATGGCCACCGATCCATATCATAAAATTTAATTAATGACTTTGCCACACAAGCTTAAAGGTGATATCGACTTGGACAGTGACCTACGGTTGGGAATAGGCTTAGTGATAGGTCGGATATTTATTTGGTTGGTTAATAAACAGACTTGAACTCTACTTCTTCTGCTCACGACGCACGTTCTCCTCCCCTCTTTTCCAGGCAAGATTTCTTTGGCTTCCCCAACGTTTTGAAGCCCGCTTGTTACAAGGACACAGAAGACCGATCTTGGAGTATTGGCCAAGATCGAGAAGAGCGATCTTGGGATATCTGGCTCGGATAGATCAAGTACTCACACTCAACTCAACTGCTAGGGTAGCAGCAAAAACAACAAAGGAAAAGGAAAAGGATTTTGGACACAAGATCGCAAGGCTGCTCAAGTGGTCAGACGATCTGTACAAGGAGTTTAAGACAAGACCGAGTAAGATCGGACCGATCTACCGGACAGATCGGCGTGTTTCATTTAGGCGAAACCAAGAACCGATCTGTCCATATTGCGCACTTCCGGCAAGATCTGCCGATCCCAAGACCAGATCGGACCGATTCAAAGGCAAGATCGATGCAATACTATTATTTGCGGAGTGAAGATTTCCGCACAGCAAAGTCCCCGACCCCGAAGACGAATCGAGATCGGTGTGATTCAAGATCGAGATCGCGACATCTCCAAAATTAGATCGCCGCGCCTCAAGATCAAGATCGCAGAACCCCCGTTCGTGGTGTGAAGATTCCCACGCCGGAAGAGAACTCTCAACCCCAAACCCTCAGCGAAATCGATATCTCCCAAGGCCATTACGAAGAGCTCAAGCCAGCCCAACCGAAGGGTGCACAAGGTGAGCACAAGGCTATGCAACAAGGCACGGATCATGGTACCCCCTCCGTAAGTCGGCAAGTCTAGGTAAGTAAAAGGTCGACCCTCACTTGACCATTTTGTGAGGTCGACTTTACCACACACTCATGCAGCCTTTCCCCTGGCTACTGAAGAAGCAGGCGAAGAGGTCGACGATTTAAAAGATTTAATATTTGCAAAGCGGCAGAATAAAAAACAACGTAAACGGGGAAATTGTGAAGTATACGGGGGAAGACCTGGTCGATAGGGATGTGGATCGTTTGAAATATTGGCACCGTCGACAGGTAAATTTTCCTAGTTTGGGCAAGATGGCGCGGGCCCTTCTGGCAATTCCTGCTACCAGTGTCCCTTCCGAGCGTGCTTTCTTGATGGGTGGTTTAATTTGCAAGGATGAAAGATAATCTCTGAACGGGGAAACCATTGAGATGCTAATGTGTATGCAGGACTGGTACAAGAAGTTGCCGAGGGTTGTTTTGTAGAGAGATTGTAGGATCTGTTAGAAGTTCTATGCAACATGTACCGATATTTATCCACAAATACATATGTAAACCCCCCCAGCGACCCCCCCCCCCCGGAAGGGTTCCCCTGGGGGGTTCCGGTCCGGGTAGGAGCCATAAGTATACCTCCGTTACGAAGTGCACCTGTGAACGCTACGAATGCTACTTCCCAACCTCTGTTTCGGGTGGCTCTCATTCCATCGACGCTGGCAGCTCGTCAGTGACAAGATCCGCTGATCAGCCAGCGTGGGGCGTGCTCCGATAGGGATGACCGGGCGCAAGATAGTTAGCGTGTAACCGGCTCGTGTGCATGGAAACGTTTTAGCCTGATTGCTGGCACGTGATTGTTAGGATGTGCGCTTACAAAACAAATTTGAAAGTGAGCTTGTCGGACATTTGCTAGTCTTGACCACAACTTGGGATCCGAAACAGGAAGCTTTGTCAAAAACGGAGACAGGCTGTCTTGTTCTGAGATGAAGCCACATTTATCTTGCGTATTTGGTCTAGAGATTTGCAGAGTAGCGCGTATATCGCTCATATCCGCCGAGCTTTTTCGACCATAATGAGAAGGTCATGATCAGGAAGGTCTTTTGCGGCGATAATGCCCTTACTGTCAAGTACTGAGGATCGTACGGAAGCAACTTATAAAGGCATATGGCTCTTCGCATCAGCGCCTTGACGTAGCCTGTCATCCAGGACTAGAGGTCGACCTGAATATCCTACAATTGACCGGGACGTTCGACACATTTGCTGGGTCTCGTGACAAATGGCACATCACAGCTCTTCACACATCGGAGGCGAGTCGACCGTTGTATCCTGAGCTCAATAGACGTGCACGCATCACTAAAGCAGGACAGTATCTGCCGGTTGTTTGATTCCCTGTAGCACAGCCGTTGCAGATTTTGGCCTCACTGCCCGCCCCACACACTTGTCCGTTTTTGTAGTTCTTGCTTGTCAGCGCTTCAGGCTGTACGAGGAACATGAAGTCTTTCTCAGATAGCATTACGATGCACGATTTAGCAGAGTGCTCTACGCTACTACAGAAGCTATTTACACAAGGGTCATTTCTATGAGGGAATTTGCCACTGCGTACATCGACGAAGTGATGACTTTAGAGTCAACTTCTTTGCAACTTCTTTGCCAGCGTCAGTTCAACTACTCGACGTTTTGGTGACTAAATTGGGGTGCGAGGTCATGTCGCTTGTGATGCTGTATCTTGTACTTGGCCCAATTATCAAACAGTTCGCGAGGGTTTCAGTCTCAAATTGTCGTAGTCAGGAGTAAGCCTCACAAGCCTTTACCCCTCATTGCGGCGCCCGTCTGCGGCAAAAAGCCTCTCTTGTAGGAGCCGAAGTCGGTAGGACATGCCTAGAAACGCTACCCGTGCGACCTCAGGACGCGCGGGTGGTTGGCACGAAGAGGTTTTTGACTTTTGGCGTTCCGCGCCACGCGTCACTGCTCCGGCACACGCACAAGTCAGTCCAAGGTATCGCGCGAGCGGTCAAAAATATGGGGTTTATACCACGGCATGTGCCATCGCTCTGGTGTATGTACGCTTCCGATAAACTGGTCGCCGGGGCCGCCGAAACGGACACAACAAGGTGCTTGTCTGGTACTAGGCTACAGCAGCAGAACCAGGCAATTCCGAAAGCTTCACCGAGGTGGCTAGCCCCGTTGAACGACCGGAGACTCATTGCGCACGGGTGTTGTCGTCCAGGCTTCGAATGCATCAGGCATCTTTCAACGTACGGTGGCTAAAAAGACAGGTCTGCCTCTTGCTCTACGAACATTTGCAATTGTTTGATCTTCGACATCACACTGTACTCGCATGTTGTATTCATGTCCAGCACGCGTATCCCTTGTAGTCGGTCACGTCGACTTTCTGTCAATTTGGTGAAATAGTGCTTGTTATCGCGAATCGCTACCGTATTTCTACTCACGAAGTAGATGCAGCAGGTGACACCATGCGTCTCGATCATTGGTAACATTTAGTTGCATTCCTACAACCTTAAAAAATGTCCATCAAACATTGCAGAGGTGAACAAAGTCTCTATCCTCATGCAGACTTGCACCACTTAAATGAGACTTTTTCGATACACATTATTGTTGTAGCATGCACTAGCGCTTCTTATATCGACACAAACAAAGCGTTTACTTCCATGCAGCTTGTTTGTCGCGATCGAAGAATGAACACAATACCGAATCTTGCAGTGTGTTGCACTGCATATCGATTTTTTGCGCTAGAAGTCTTACGATGCCTAATTTGTCTGGCAGGCGAAGTCAAGTCTAAAAACATGGTGTCTACACTCCAAAAATGTGGGTATGTCCGACATATACTTACTTTTATGTGTACACTGCAAAATTGACGAGACGCGAAGCACTTACACGAGTCTCGAAGTCGTCAGGTGAATCACATCTGCTGCTTCTTCATCGTAATACTCCGTGTACATGTCAACAAGCGTGGCCCAGTTTACCGCATCTCTCTCTTTGACTCTTTTGATGAATTCACTGTCAGGCTTTACGCTTTCACTACACCATCGGTCGAACAAAGACGTCAGGTATTCATAGGCAAAATCCTGTATGTCAGTATCTTTTTGATATGCTTCGACAAGCGTGAGCGCGAGATTGATATCGTCATCGTAGCATTTCTCCAGCGCCTCAAAGATCGACGGCCACGACCAACTGTGTTTCGACTCCATGTACTTTATCAGCAACTTGAATTTCAGATCTCTCGAAGCCTTGTGTACGTGACTCTTCATATCAAGTAGCGCAAACACCTCCTCGATTGACTTGTTCGCGCTATACCAACTGCTCAAGAGCTCTTTCTCCAGTTCCTTCACGTGCTGATTTGATGGGCCGGCCGTCCTTGCCCTTACTAGTTCCCCCACCACCGCATTCACACCGAAGCGCGAGATGAAGGTTTCTAATAGCGAAAACTTGCGCATCGGGTACGCTTTGTTAAAGGTGTCAGCGTAATGTCTGACTATCGGAAGCACTGGGCTTGTCAGCTGATCTACCGTTTCAGCCGCTCCCAGCCGAACAAGGACATCTCCCGGCGACAAATTCTTAGCCCCCCATCCCGCAAGTACCCTGTTCGACATTTTGACAGCTCCTTCACTATTGCTATTATGGCTCGTTGCTTTCGACAAGATTAAACATAACTCTTTTTCACCACCGAAGCCTGACGTAATGACCGTGAGCAAATCGACATGGGAAAAATTCTCTGTGTTGTAAAGCTCGATGTAGTTTTCCAAAACGGGGACTAGTTGATCAAAAAGTATTCTGGGTGTAACCCATACACCCTGCCTCAGTATCTTTAGCACGTCATCAGCTGTTTTACCTTCAGCTAGCCATATCTTCAATTGTTGTGGTTCCAGGACCTTCTCGTACGCATCCGGCAAGCGACCCGCCCTTGCCTTCGCCACTGCGTCCGCCACACATGCATGTCCGAAATACGTCGTAAATATCTTCAAGACCGACAGCTCACGCGTTGGATCTTCTTTCTGGTGCATATCCATAAATTTCACAAATATCTCTAGCTTTGGACCTGTCATTTCATCAACCCGTCTTGTCATACCAAGCCGATGCATGACAGCCTCTGGCGTCAGCTTTTCATTTCGCCATTTTCCAAGCAGCAGGTTCTCCAGCTCCAACGCTTTTTTACTTCGGTATTCATAACCTGTAGCCCATCCTAAGATCCGTGCAAGGTTTTCTTCACTACCACAAATAGACGTCATGGTCGTCAGCAAATCGACATCGGTCAACTTACTTTTGTTGTAGATCTTCATAATTTCTTTCAACACCTCCACTTGTTGATCAAAAAATGCCATCGACTCCATTTTACCTATCCCCAGCGACTTGTACACACGATCAATGGGTTCGCCAGCGGCTAGCCGCCTCTTCCAAACCTGATTTATCAAGACCTTTATGTCTTCTTTCAAAACGTCGATCTTGCTTGCCAATACCAGTGCCCCCATCATATCTTCGTCCCCAAGGCGCTCCGTGAACATTTCAGGAAGCGTACGCATAAGCTTCCATCTCTTTCTGTAGCTCGTAGCAATGTACTTCATGAACATCACTAGCTTTGGGATTGCCGATCCTTTCACGTCATCCGTCATTCTAAGCCTGCGTACGATATCATTCGGCTTCAACTTCTCATTTTTCCAATTTGAAAGCAGCTGTCTCTCCAGCTTCAAAGTTTGTTTGCTCGAGCCTTCGTAGGCCATGGCCCATACTAAAACCTGTGCCAGTACATGCTCACCACCGTAGCACGAAATCATGGCTGGCAACAACTCAAATTGGGTGGACATCTCTTCGTTGTAAAGCTTGAGAAAACTTTCGAACATCTCCACTCGCTGATCAAAATATCTTGGAGGCTTTGTTCCGTGAAATTTCAGTGTCAATGTCACAAATTTTATCGAACGCCTTTGAGCTATCCAGTTCTGTATAAATTGCGCTTCGAACATCTTTATGTCCGCTGTCGATTCATGGAATGATTTATCCTTTACCAGTGCTTCTACCACATCATTATATCCAAAGAGCTTCATGAACATATCAGGCAGCGAAAACCCATAGCCCACATTCTCTTTGTTATACGTGGCACTGTACTTCAGGAGCGTTCCTAGTTTTCGGCTTGTCAATTCTTCCACACTTTTGTCCATCTTTAGCCGATAGACGACATTTTCTGGCGTCAAATTCTCGACTTTCCATTTCTTATGTAGCAGTGACTCCAGGTCCAAAACTTTCGCACTGGCAAGAGAATTTGTCCGTAAGATTCCTAGCATTGATGCCAAGTTGTCCTCACCACCACAGCCTGAGGTCATAACTTCAAGCAGCAAGACATGTGCGTTCTCCTTTTTGTTGTAAAGCTCGATGAAGTCTTCCAACACCACCACCTGCTGACCAAAGTATGCGTCCGTCCTGGCTGCGTCTATATTCATCATACCGAAAACGTCCTCAGGTAATTTTCCATCAGCTAGCCAGATCTCCACAAGTCGTATTTCCAATTTATCCACGTGTGACTTCAAGAAAGCATCGCCCCTTGCCCTCACCAATGCCACTGCGACAGCTTCATCTCCAAAGCGATTCGTAGACATCTGAAGCAGCGTAATCTCATCCGCCGGATCCTTTGCGTCACCAGAGATACTCGCAATGTGCTTCAGGAACGTCGCTAGCTTTGGGCTTACTAGATCGTCAATTGTTTCGGTCAGTTTAAGCCGATCCACGATGTCTTGCGCGGACAGCTTTTCATTTTTCCATTTCGTAAGCAGCATCTCCTCTAGCGCCAGAGTTTTCGCATTCACAGCTCCGTCGCTGTTGGCGCCTTTCGCCAACACCGACGCCAACTCACCTTCGCCGCCAAGTTTCAACGTCAAGAAGTCGAGTATATCGATGTGGCCGGGATTTTTCTTGTTGTAAGCAGTGAGAAATTGATCGAAAACCTCCAGCTTTGCGCCCACATGACCTTCATGCAGCTTGAGCGAAGTCAGAAAATCGCCAGGCGATACAACGTCCTTTAGCCACCCGTCCAACTGCTGCTCCGACAATGTCGTGGTGGTCGTCTTTGTCTCTACATCACCGGTATTCTTCAATCCGGCGAGCGCTATTTCCACGACGCCGTCCTCTTCCGCTTTTGTGGGTGCCGCGATCGAAGTCTTTTGCGTATTGGAGCTTTTCCGAATTTCCAAGGCCTTTTCATTAACCTGAACCTCGCGGAACGCCTTCATTTCATTCGTCTCGAGCGAAAGTGGAATGTTGGCAAGCTTGGCAAGCTTAGACACGGCCTTTTGAGCCAAATTCGGCCACTCGACCGTCCTCTCGTCGCCGCTGTCCTCTGGCTCATCACTTCCCGCGCGCATGGTAATTGATACTTCCTCCGGGTCCTCGACGAACGGACTAGTCTCGGCTAAGGAGCTGTTTGTCGCCACTTTTTGGACGGACAAGCCGCCAACTCGTTTCAGAGGCGCAGTGGCAGCCAACAACGCCAGAAGAGAGAGAACCTTCATGAGTCACGTTCGCTTGCTTGAGGTCTATCGAGCTGTGCACAAAGTGTAGCGGGCCGATCCTGTTATATGATATTACCATTTGTGACAATCTGGTTCTTGAAAACATTAAGTTTAGCATTCTCGTAAAAAAATCACTGAGCTCAGTGATAATATTGTCATTTATGACAGTACGAGAATAGAGAACATTAAGTTTAGCATTATCGTCACAAAATTACTGAGCTTTGTGACATTGTTGCGATGACCCAAGGGTCTACTCATTGGTTAATATAATTATTATATTGATCTACTTATCGCTGCTAGACGCGCGCAATGGATGGTGAGCGAGAAACCTACACAGGATATTGTAGTTGTACCTATAGTTGAAGTAAGACACAGGATTTTGATTGAAAGAACATTTACTATACTGAATGAAGTTCTACTTTCACCATTTGCTATGCTTCTTTCTCGCCTCCCCCAACAATCACGTGTATGTGTATCCGAGAGCACGCACGCTGTAATGATAATGTTGTTAAATGTGAAGCGTGTTGATGAACGATTGCGACCAGCAATACCTGTTACAGATAGATCTAGCTATCCGGTGGAGCTAATGACGAGTATCGTGCAGTGTTACAGGACAGACCTCTCCTCGTATGGCTCCCAGTTGATAGTTTGCTGGTGCTCGGGGTCGCACGGGGTTGACGAGCGGCAAGTCGGAAGGCTGGTGTCCACGTTGAGCGACGTCTCGAGCCAATGGGATGAATGGAGATTGACAAATTGTCGGAGTCTCTGGGCGAAACTAAGCTCAAATGGTAGGTGAACCTGAAGCACTTAGATGGCACCAATCGCCACGGTCGTGGCATATCTGGCCATTTTGTTAAACTCGCAGATCAATGAGTTCAGATGGCAAGTAAAATATCATCCACTAGAGCCCGCGATATACATATAGTGCATCCAGGTGCAGTTTGAGAGATGATCGGTGTCGCCAAAGCTATGATACAATCGTAGGGCTGTCCCCAATGACATGCTTCAGCGTAAAGCAGCTGGTATTTTTCTGGCGCAAACCGAAATTACACTACAGTACGGAGACGTTTATACGTCATTGAAGAGATCCAGGTGCTTTACTAGCAATCCAGACGATACCGGAAGTATGTAACTGGTCCTGAAGGCGGACGACGACGGACCCGATCAAACCAGATCCGGGGTTACCGCGCGATATTCCTGAAAAGAAAATGATCAATTGGTCCGTGTGCGACTGTCCCAAACTCGGGAGTTGCAAGGGTGGCAGAACCGAATTAAACATTAACTCATCCGCCCAAGCTTATCTTACACGTGGCCAGCACGAAATTCTCAGCAGGGTCACCGGTCTAGTGAGTGGACCCACGGAACCGAGCAACTGCACGACGAAAACCGTCTTGGGACGATGCGCGGTGGCTAGCATCGAATAAATTTGGATCATATATTCGACATAGACGCTTCGACCAAATTCCGATAAGTAAAATCGAGACAAAACGCCATGATGCGTCCGTGTCCCTCAAACACGATTTTACGAGCTACAAATGTCCTCACGCACGGATGATGAGCAGGTTGCACTAAATCCAAGGCACGCGCGAGAGGTCCGAGAAGCTCCAGTAAAAAGATTGTGCACGACAGGGTGATAACGGTGAGACTGCCTAACCTGCTCCAAACGGCAGCAATACTTTGCAACGTCACCGAGCTAATGGGTAAGTTATAAAAAAATATAGCTCTTGTGGTCATAGGTAGTCGGTAAGCACTCGGTATTGTAGCCGGGCAGAAGAGATTTATCGCCAACCGGTTCCAGCGAGGGGAAATATTAAAATTCAGCCGGTACAGCTCCTAGTAAACATTATGGGACAATGTCTTTATGCGCAAGAGATCACGCCAAAACACTCATTCAATACTGCGAGCGATTATCGAGTGCCTAAGAAGTATAATACGGTTCCCATGTTGTACAATGCCTGCGAGTTTCCGCTGCCTAGGCGCAAGCTTAATTAAGACATGAGCTCGCGGGAACCATCGGCTCGTGCCGACTCATATCTAGGCGATACGTGTTAGGTTCACGTGCGCCTTAAAATGTATTTGTACTTTATGACCACACGTTGTAGCTTGATCGCATTAAGCCATAGTTTAAACCGGCGTACCGCTAAACTTAAGCCGTTTCAAGCACCGTAAGGTTAATCACGGACGAATTTAAACTCTATACTCTTTATTAAACGTGCCTTATTGTCATAAAAAGATTCTAGATTCCAGGGAAGGCTAGCTAGATGGTATAATATAAAAGTTATCTGCCAAAGTGTGGTAAAGTCGATATCACAAAATAGCAGATGTGAGGGTCGATCTTTCACTTGCCCAGACTTGCCGACTCACGGAGGGGGTACTCCGATCCGCGTCTTGTTGCGTAGCCTTGTGCACCCGTCGTTTGGGCCGGCTTGAGCTCTTCGTAATGGCCTTGGGAGATATCGATCTCTCTGAGAGGTTGGGTTGAGAGTTCTCTTCCGGCGTGGGAATCTTCACACCACAAACAGGAGTTCTGCGATCCTGATCTTGAGTCGCGGCGATCTACATTTGGAGATGTCGCGATCTCGATCTTTAATCACACCGATCTCGATTCGTCTTCGGGGTCGGGGCCTTTGCTGTGTGGAAATCTTCACTCCGCAAATAATAGTATTGCTTCGATCTTGCCTTAGAATCGGTCTGATCTGGTCTGGGGATCGGCCGATCTTGCAGGAAGTGCGCGATGTGGACAGATCGGTGTCTTGTTTCGCCAAAATGAAACGTGCCGATCTGTCCGGTAGATCGTCTCGGTCTTGCTCGGTCTTGTCTTGAACTCCTTGTCCAGATCTTCTGACCACTTGAGCCGTCTCGCGATCTTGTGTCCAATGTCCTTTTCCTTTTCCTTTGTTGTTTTTGCTGCTACCCTAGCAGTTGAGTTGAGTGTGAGTACTTGATCGATCCGGGCCAGATATCCCGAGATCGCTCTTCTCGATCTTGGCCAACAATCCAAGATCGGTCTTCTGTGTCCTTGTAACACGCGTGCCTTGAAAACTTTGGGGAAGCCAAATCAATCTTGCCCGGAGAAGAGGGGAGGAGAACGTGCGTCGTGTGCAGAAGAAGTAGAGTTCAAGTCTGTTTATTTACCAACCAATTATTACCAAACATATCTTTAAGCCTATTCCCAACTGTAGGTCACTCTCCAAGTCGATATCGCCTTTAAGCTTGACCGCCCCCTTGAACACGTGTTGAAATTTCGTGGCCTGTACTCCAAAGATAGCGCCAACACTCTCGATATCGTACCCAGACACCAAAAAGGAGCAAATTCCAAATGTGGTACCAAATACCCAATTTAGATACCAAAAGGTCCAAAATAGTACTCAAATACCAAATGTGTCCAAATCCGCTTTGCGACGTCAATTCGACCGGCTTCCACTGGCTCTTCGGTCTGAACTTTTGAGACATCACTCACGGACCTTCAACAAGCATGTCTGTCATGATCCGAAAGTCTCATCAGCGATAAATCCATAGTCGGTAGGGAACATGACCGATCTGAATCCCAATTCGAGATTGAAGAGGATCGACATAGTACAATCCGGCCATATATGTTCTTCCGTTCATTGTGTGTACTCCGATACCATCCTCACGGGTTTATCTGCTCAATGGGACCATCCGCAGTTCCTACAACGGTCCCACGGGCTCCCACAAACATCTCCACTTCCAGATCGGGCCATAATTAACCTAAATCAGTACTCCCTTCGGGAGACCGGTAACGAGTGTCACCGATCTGATGGATTTCAGCACCTTTGTCACAGAGTCACCTCACATCGCCTGGTCCCCGATACACCTTTCCCAGAGTAATTCTGCTTCAGATCGGTTGTTTGATGCAATCCAGTCCCTTGTCTCAGATCGCACCGTTGAAATCATTCCTAGTCCCAGATTGTAGCGTGGAAATCATCCCATTCCGCGCCCCGTATCAGATCTTTCCACACCCATCTATCTGACGGCAGTTGGATCAGATCGTCTTTCTGCGTTGGGATCTCCTCCCATCCATCTCTAATTAGATCGCCAGGTCCCATGGTCTCATTTTCCACCAGTAAGTGACACCTTAACTGGGTGGTCACCGATCCACGTCCCGTCATTTGATTAGTGACTTTACCACGACCGCCCCCTGTACTGAAGTCCTTTTGGGCAGCAACCGGCTTCAGTCCAGTCATTAATCAACTTCGTTTCAAGCACTCAAGTCCATCCCATGACCTCCCCGACGCGTATCCCCACTTCGCCGACCCTCTCGGATCCCTCCACTGTAATTCTGTCTCCGGATCGAGATCGGCCGTCCGGATCGCCAGATCACGGGAAGCATGCTCCCACAATTTCGGATCGGCCTGGGTCTCCACGACATCCCGGTACGGCAGGATCGCAGATCCCTCGTCTACAAGACAAGCTTAAGCCTGCTCCATCGTCTTAGTCTAAGATCGGTGTTCGAGTTCGATTGTCTTTCAGAATTTTGTACGTCTTTCAATTGTTTTCTTTGGTAATTAATTCTTCGCAACTTTCACAACTTCGATTCGCTCTCGATCCATATCATTCAGTTAGGTAATATAATTGACTGTCTCCATACTTACACACATAACTCCATCCATCAGCATGTGCTACCTCCTAGAAAATCTTTCAACCCCTCCTTCCGCATATGCTACCTCCCGCATACTTGTCGAACTATTAAGTTTCGTCCGACTTTTCTTCGTAAGACTGCATCACTTCGAAACGGTTTCGACTCACTCGACTCCGCTCCGACTCTTGCAAGATTGATCCACAACTCAGATCGGCCTCATCCACCCAACTTAGGTCGGGATGTCCCTTCCATTTCACCAGAAATTGACGGTGTACTCGCCCATAACGGGTTTTCCGACCAGATCGCACGTCCAATACCTCTTTACCTTCTTCAGCTTCGATAGATGTACAATCGGAAACAGTCGATATGGGGTTCCGGCGATCTCCAACTTCGCCGCGTG